CTTTCTTGGCGGAGACGCTAATTCCGGGTCAGATTCATCACCTGTGTTTCCTGTCAATTCGGAGACTGTTTCATCAGTGATGGTGCGAGTCTCAGCGAGGTGACCTCTGCCGGATCGGCTACCACCAAATTCATTGTCGGTCGGCCGAGTGCTTTCAACTATAATGACGGATTCCTCGGATGCCTCATCCTCATCATCATCATCATCAGCATCGTCGTCTGTCTTATTGTTAATTTTGCTGTCGTCATCGGTCTCATCTGAATCCCACCCGTCAGGTTGAGCGTACCTGTTAACCAAGCCATTATCTTCGTCACCGATTGAATCATCTTCTTCCTCGGAATCTTCATACTCCGGATCGAAAATCTTTCTGACACCCTTGTGGATTTCAACTTTGTCAACCGCGTTGTTCGGAAAGCCCGCGATGACTTTAGTCTTCATTTCCTGTATGCATCTTACAGGAGTCACCTCGAGAAATTCGTCAAACATCATAGTCCAAGGATGATCGAACATTGTAGCACAGATCAACCAAAATTGTACCAAAGGTGTCTCTTGTCGTAAGCGAGGATTAGAATCGTCACAACAGAAGTACAAATCATCTTGTTGAATTGTCAAATCACCCAGAAGACCGATATCGAAGAAGGAGAAAGGAATTTGTTGGGCAACCTGTAGAGCGATCGCTCTCACTCCCCAGATATATTCCGTGTTCTTGTCGTCATCCTCAAAAATCGAAATCAAAAAGCCCAAAACGCGTTGCCAGTCGTTATTGTATTCGTCAAAAATCATATTGACTCGAACTTCGACCGAGAACTTAGCATAGAAGTCCTGGAAAGGGCTATCAAACCTGGGAAGGGCTTGAGACCAGCGGGCGTTGTGGTCGTCGATCCATTTCGTAAAAACGTGATTTCCAAACTTGATCTGAGTAGAGTTCTTGTCATAGCCGACAGCGACTAAATCTTGAGTGGAGAGCCCAAAGTCAATCAGTGGACGCACTGTGTCAATCACTTCTTGAGTTCCGGAATCGTTGGAGATCTTAGGATCTCTGTCTTTAGGTTGACGTAAATCAACAGAGAATGCATTTTCCAATTGTTTCTTTCCGCTCTTTTTGGAGGTAGAACCCAACTTAGATTTTGATCCGCCTGCCTTCTTAGCAGCCGTTGAAACAACCTTCAGAGATGTATACTTTCCCATTGTAGAACAGTGAAATGCCGTTGAATTGATAAAACTGCTGCGATTTCTACGTAGACTCTAGTACTTAGGCTACGAACACCGTTTGCAAGTTCCGATCGATTCCGTGCTTTTCGTTTTCCGTTTTTCTTTTTCTATGAAGAACTTCATGGAAGTAACACCTTCGGCAGCAGCCCAAGCTTCAACACGCTGGATTACTTGATTGGTAACGGGTAGTACAACGACCTTGGGTCAGGAAATCATCTTCTTAGTATTGAGGTTGAGCACTTGGTGCCCAGTATGTTGTCCCTTGGTAGGTTCAATGTAAATCGCTTCGATACTTCTGGGTTCCATTGAATTGTTGGAATCCGTCCCAATTGCATGAAAATATTGTCCAAGTTCAGCAACCATGTCACTCTTGTAGTTGATATTGACATTATCAATGAGTTGCTGTGGTTTGAAATTTGATGAGATACTGTCTTTCTGGGGAAAGACATTCAATAGCTCGGCGGCTTGACGTCCAAGACATTCAGTGATCACTTTTGGAACCACTTTGTAGGGTAATCGTGCAAGAGCTACTCTGACTCTTTCTTTCAACGTCCTATTGTTTCGCTCAGCGGTAGGCTCGTGGTCTCCAGCTGCAGTCGGGTCAATAGTAGCACCCATATTGTCTAGCATATCATCAGTGAGAGGAATGAACGCCCGATCACACTTGATTGTCTTGACTTGAAAGCCTGCCTTGTTGTAGCGGCGGAATATCTTATCCAATGCTTCAAATACAGGGTCAGTCTTCAGGTTCTGCACGGGAATACATGAGCGATAACACACAGTGGTATCAATGCAGGTGAGAAACTTAGCATTCTCAATCTCCATGTGATCAATACAGACGGAAATAGATCAATTGTGCTGAAATAATTCCTCTGGTGGACTGAAGAAGTTGTCGTACGTCTTCTTTGGAGTTGGTCTTGTTGACTTGCCAATGTAGAGGCATCAGGTCCAAAGATTGCTTCAGCATGATTGATCGCTTCTTTGGTGATAGGACAGTTCTTGATGAGACCAGATCGGATCGCATACTTCAGACTTTTGCTGCTTGGAGCATTGAGTATGTGCATTGTACTTCTCGCTTCCATCGCAGCCTTAACTTGTCTTGGAGTGAATCCTTCCTTGTTCTTTCAAACGGTTGCCATCTTGGAGGTCATCTCAAGTCCAGCATATCCATTCTGTTTGTTTGAAGAAAGTTCGAAATGGGGTTGATTATTTAAGTTGCTTAACTGGCGACGGTACATTGCACTTGTCTCTTTGGCACCTGGTTCGACATTCGCTCCAAGTTGCTCCAACACATACACACCCTTACAATTCACAAATTGCATCTTTCTGTTTCCATCACAATGCACAATAAAAGCATTGTCAGCATCAGTATCCATAGTAATGCGGTATCCC